ACAAACAATAAGAGAACATGTTGGACAACTGAAATCAGAAAGAAGAAGAATAATCAACTTCGAAATATAATCCAACCAGTATCCAAATTCAAGCAGAGCAACAAAGAAATCCAAATCCAAATTCCCAAGGGAAAGCAAACACAACAAACTAATTCACTTCATCCCATACCCGCACGCTGTGATACAGTAAATCTTAAATACATGAAGAAAACAAACTATCCCAAATTTATTTCTCTTCCCTCTTCTCTTGTTTTCTCGGTACATCATCCATTTTGCAATGCATCTGATGGTGTGCAATCCGGATGCTCCTAGCTGTAGGGCAGCTCGGACGCCTGTCGCCAAGTAGGTCACTCGAACTGCAGGGAAAGGGAGGTATTAGAGAACCCGGGGTGGCTAACCCGGCGAGGTCGCTCCGATGCTTAAGTTAGTAATAGCATATGCAAGCTGAGAGTTTGAGAACAAGGAGAGCTAGAATACACTAAATCGTGCATACCTAAGTCCAGGGGGGTTGATGCCCTTATATAGTTGAGTTGCCGTGGGTCTCATGAAACGACTCCGGGATCCTCAGCCCATGTAGATGAGATCCATTTCCGCTTTAGAAGGAGAGTAACATACTAGTCAATGAAGTCTATCGTTATCGTCTGATTCGGGCGGAGAGAGGATAAGGCCTACCATTACGCGGCATGATCCCGGTAGATTCGGAGTCCGCTAAGAAGATTCTGGATTTGATTACGTGTCACTTCAGTACTTGGGTGTCAAACATGCTTTGGTGCCGAGGTGCCCGAACACCTGGGCTCCCGAACTGCTGACTAGGCTCCCCTTGCCGAGTTGTCATCTTGCTGGTAGGTCATGTCCACGTGGCCTTTACTTACTAGGTCGGGCCAAATCACCTCTCTTCAGAACCTATTGACTACAAAACAAATATGTACAGATATACAGAGAGAAGATGAATCAAAACTAAGTTGTTGAATATAAAAGAAATCATGGCCTTATATAATCCCAGAAATGGAGACACCTATGAATCACAGAATAAAATAAGAGCAGATCCATTGGTGTATGAATATTTTGTAGACATGAACTATACTCACCGATTGCCTAGATTTGGTGTGAAAATCCATTAATGGAAGCAGTGAAGTAGATCAATCCCAAAAAAGAGTAGGAGCAGATCTGAAAAAGATAAAACTAGTCAGTTAGTGAAAGGAAAAAAGAAGGAAGAATGAGGAAGAAGAGGAGAGGAAGAAGAAGATTCAATCAGTGGGTAGTTGATTTCGAAGAAGAAGAAGAAAAAGGAGGAGGATAATGGTTTAGCAGTGGTCTTACCTCGCTGGAGGTTGGTTCGGCCCTCTATTC